TATATAAGTTAAACTTATCGAAGATTAAACATGTAAATTTATATTGTTATTCAGATGCTGATTATGCAAGTAATGGAGATGACTGCGTATCCATATGAGGATTTATATTATATTTAGATGAAGTACCAGTAATCTGGAAAACTGTTAAACAAAAATTCAAGAGAATGTAAATTATTTTGCAATAACAAGTATGCCATTGATTAATCGCCGAACTAAGCACATAGACGTAAAATATCACTTTGTTAGAAGACTAGTAAATGATGGAGTGTTTGACCTTGAATTTATCACCAGTAAATTAAATACTGCCGACTTATTTACAAAAGCAGCGACTGCTGTTAATTTAAGAAAGTTTTGTTTAGATGTTTTCAGTGTTTAAAGACAATAAGTGTTTTCGTATAATAGAATTGAACTATGAACTTCTGTGTAAGTTTTGTTTTTGTCTTTGCATGAGGAAAAAGAGGGCCGTTTGTTGGCTTTAGTTTTCCACATGCAAATTTTGATCGGAGGTCAATCGGCGGTAAGCTAACGTGGTTGCCGCTGATTGGCCGATGACGTCAAGATCGGCGGGTTGGCCGAGTATTATATATGTACGCCGGTATCGGCGAATGTTCTTGTTCTCTTGTGTTATTATGAGTTAGCATAATGCTAGTTTGCTTTCAATCAAATGATTTTAAATGTAAAGGCTACAGTGTTAGCTCTTTTATTTTAATTTACGGAATAAAGCATGAATTTTATTTAGATTAGTCTTAGCTTATTTAAGGAAAGCAAAATGCTTTTTATCTCCACTACCAACAGAATACGTGTGATATACGCTACTTGTAACGGTGCATTGAAAAATAACAGCCGCGGCCAAGAAGCATTTTAGCACTAGCAGTCAAACATAATTAATGGGCAGTAGAGTATTTTACTTTTACATCCTGTCGCTAGTTGTAATCTGGCGTAGCGAGAGGGGGGCAAGGGGGTGCATGATGCCCCGGGCGCCGCTCGTACAGGGGCGCCAAATGGTCTCCAAACAAGATTTTCCGGAAAATTTCAGTTTTTATTTTGATCGATTTCTGGAAAATATATTTAAAATTAATAACTATTGTAATATAATTAATTATTTATTTTCTTGATTTGTGTAATAATAAAATGTTTGCAGTACATCAACCAAAACGTTCTTTCTGACCACTTTATTTCTCCAAAGTAGAGATATATTTTATTTAAACGAAATGCACGTATATCTCTCGCTTTTTATTTTAAAACGATAACACGACCTTGTCCCGAATTTCTCAAAATATATCCAGTTTCCAAATCCGATTCCATAATCTGGAAATGACATTTTTTGAAAATCCTAACGCTTCCGCTACAATGGATTGCGTTTGACTCTCCTGTAAACGACTGATGGCCTTCTGATGGCCTTCCTGGCTACTGATTCAACTAAGTCATCTTGCTGAGACGTCGTATATTCACTGCTACGAAGCATTCAACGCATGTGAATTGTTTTTAATCTTCTATTACAAAAAGGAATACTGCAGGTCGTTCCTTACTCCTTATCTAAACGCATAGTTTTCGACGTCACAGACTAAATTTGCATATTCCCAACTTTGTAAACGTTATAATTTTCCTTTATAATCTCTTCTATTTCCTTTTGTTCAAAAAATGTTATCGATTATATGGTTATTTCATACCGAACCCACAATACACCCTAATTGTTTTGAGCAGTGAATGTGACTGCATGACGTTACTCCGCAGTAGAAAAGAAACAGAACCTAAAACTCCACTACAGATCTATAGAGAAAATGTTTTTCCAAACCTAAGAGTCGCACTTTAAATACTACTTACTATGAACGTTCGTTCAGCAAATTAAAATAAATTTTCACATATTTACAATCAACGGTGGGACAAGATCCCCTAAGTCATCTAGCATTTTTAAGTGTGGAAAGAGAAAAATTTGAAAGGATCTACTTTGATGAAGTAAATGATAAATTTGCTTCTAAATTTTCAAAGTAAGAAAAATGTATACATAATAATTAATTTTATTCATGTATTATATTATTATTAATAAATATAAGAGCCCGACCAAGTCGAGGTGCACGTGATTGAAGCGAGATGAGGGACAAATTAAAATTTTTAAGTTGGCTGGTGGTGTGTCTGACAATTTTAGATCTTTGGCACTCCAAGCATGATGGTGTCCAGTTGGCTATGTCCTTTTGCATGCTATTCCATACGAAACGTTGCTATATCAGTTTCCTTGAAAAGCCTTGATGCCAGGATGTGACAGACGATGTAACTGACTAAAAATGGCATGGCGAAACACGGAGGGAACATAAGGTCGAAATCTTGAATCCTGAAACATCACAATAAAGTGATTTTCCAGGTGACAGCTGCATAGGCTGCAAGTTGAGATTGGTGGAAGATTTGCTTTTCAAGAGGGTTTGTAGTTCTGAATCCCGGTGTTGTTCATCCGCAAGGGCAGCAAAGTTTATTGGCGAAGGAACGGCTAGTTCTTCAATACGAGACAAGGATGTCTGCAACAATATTCTGCGAACCCTCAATATAACGGATATCTGTTGAAAATTGCCCTATGAAGTCTAGGTGTCTCATTTGACGAGGAGAAGCTTTATCCGAACGCTGCTGAAAAGTATAGATTAAGGTTTGTGATCTGTGAAGATCATGAAAACGCGTCCCTATAGCATATGTCGAATAATATTTGACAGCTTCATAAATTCCTAATAATTCGCGATCGTAAGTGCTGTATCTGGTTTGTGCTGGTGAGAGGTTTTTAGAAAAATATGAAAGTGGTTTCCATAATTCTTGACCTTTTTGTTTTAAAACTGCTCCTATACCTGTCGTTGATGCGTCAACGTGTAGAGATATTAGGTTATTTTTTGGAAGCAGAAGAGATGAAAAAATATGCAACGCCTTCGCCGGGAATCGAAACGCGGACCTCTGGAGTACTGGCCCAGCGTGCAGAACCATTACACCATGAAGGCACGCTAGGAAAGCGGGAGAAATACCTTATAAACTCCCCATTTTAAAGGGCGACTGGGGTTTTAGGGGCCGCAATCGCCAAATCCTGGGTGTGGAGAATCCTCATTCAACACCCCTTTTATTTTGGGCGCCACTGTAGAGACATTAGGATATTTGGAAGCAAGAGAGATTGAAAAAAATAGCAATCGCCTTCGCCGGGAATCGAACCGCGGACCTCTGGAGTACCGGCCCAGCGTGTAGAACCACTACACCACGAAAGCATGCTAGGAAAGCGGGAGTCCCTACCTTATAAAACGTAGAGTGATAATGGTTTAGATGCGGAAGGATACTGCAAATTTGTTGCCGAAATTAAATCATTTTTGCATTTTTGGAACGCTTCGCGAGATTCTGCGGTCCAGGTTATAACACGTTTATCGTTTTTCTTGATTCCAACCAAAAAGGAATTTAGAGGTGCTTGTATGGTTGCTGCATGAGGTAAGAAACGTCGATAAAAATTGAGCATAGCAAGAAATCTTCTTAAGTAAGTTCTTCACTGTAGATGGTTCGGGCATATCGCGGATAGCGGTGACTCTATCTGGAAGGGGTCGAACGCCATCAGCGGAAATTTCATGACCAAGAAAGGATACTCTTGGACTGGCCAAAAACGCATTTGGAAGGATTAAGACTGACACCGTACCTTTGAAAACGTTCAAAAAACTGTTCTCAAATGTGAAAGGTGTTCTTGCTCTGAAGAGGAGGCGATTAAGACGTCATCAAAATAAGGTACACAAAAGTCGAGGCCATTTAACACCTGATTCATGAAGCGTTGGAATGTTTGAGCAGCATTGCATAAGCCGAAGTCATGACCGGAAACTCAAATAGTCCAAAAGGCGTAATAACCGCAGTTTTTGGAATATCAGCTGGGCTTAACGGGCACTTTGTGATACGCCCGCTCAAGATCAAGGGCTGTAAAAATAGCTTTTCACTCTGAAAACTTGCATACAGTCTTGAATGTGAGGGATTGGGTAACGATCAGGAAATTGTAGCTGCATTTAACCGGCGATAATTGCCACACGGGCGCCAGTTACCATTTCGTTTCCGAACTAGATGGAGCGGACTGGACCCTAGAACTTTTTGAAGGACGGCAAATTCCCTGTTCCATCATGTATTGAAATTCCTCTTTGGTGGCTTTAAGCTTGTCCAGAGGTTAGCGTCTTGGTTTAGCGGCAATTGGAGGTCCGGTAGTTTCAATATAATGTAGTACATCGTGCTTGGGTTCGGAAATACCCATAACTGGGCGCGTGTTTGTAGGGAATTCTCTGAGAAGTTGATGCCATGGGGAGTTACCCGAAATCAGTTTAATGCTCAAATCTTGACTATTGCGAATTACTCCCGGATAAGTTAAGTTGGTTGTGGAATCTATCAAACGGCGATTCTTAAGATCGACAAGCAAAGAAAATTTTTGAAAAAAGTCAGCGCCAATAATAGGACTTGAAACAGTAGCAATAATGAATGGCCATTGGAAGTTGCGGCGCAATCCTAAATCAACAGATATCAGGCGTTCACCAAAAGTTTGAATAGGAGTTCCATTTGCTACATAAAGTTGTAACTTGGTAAGGCGCTTTTGTTCGTGAAAATGTGGTGGAACGACAGAAACATCAAAAAACAAGAACGACAAGAAACTTAAGCCCGAATTCTTTTCGATGAGAAAAAGGCGTGCAAAATTCCAGCCGCTGTCGTTCACAACTTCAAGCAACGGCCCTTCTCGTTTCCCTGGTCGTTATAACGACACGGTGGGCGGCATTTGTTTGCCTTGTTTCGAAATTTGTGGTGGTAAAAACAAATATCCAGTCATGAAAAATTATAATAAATTCATTGTTACCGGTGATTTTAACTCTAAACATCCAAGCTGGGGCGCAGGAGATATTGATGCAAGAAGGCGATTGGTATTTGACTTTATCGTCTCTAATAATATAATTTTACTAAATGATTTGATTTTTCCTGCAACTTTCAAATCTACCATCGGTGAGGTATAGACTGATCTTGTTATGACCTCACAGGTTTTGTCTATCAATTCTGGAGCTCTGCAAGTTCTGATGGATGAGAGTCTTAGTGATCATCGTTATTTGCAGTTGAATTATGATGAAAATATTCATTGTGCTCCTAAGATTGTTTTAACAAGAGATGTCCACCGGATTACAAGGTATTGTTATAAAATTGCTCCGATAATGCATAAATTTAAATTAGTTTATTGAAGTGTGAGGACTCTGATACAATTGAAAAATTTTTGAGGATCTGTCTATCTATGTTAAAAAGAAGAACAAAACAAAAGGGAAGTAGGCAGATTTCGTGGTGGACTCCACAACTTACTTGTATGCGACGCCGGATACGTGCTTTGAGGAAAAGTTCGCAAATTTTGAATTTAACGGACAATATATACGTAATGAAAGGAAAATTGCATATAAAAAAAAATTGGCAACTTATAAACGTCTAATTTGGAAGAAAAAATTTGAAACTAAGAAGAAATTTTTTCTTAATAATCTTTATTATTATGATGGTTTTTATCGAATTGCCTCTGAAAAAGTGAGACGTGCTGTTGCTCTGTATAATCCTCAGCACGCTGACAGTTTGATTGAACTCAATAGACAGAAGCTTTCGCAATCACTCAAATTGGGAGCACCTTAGGATATTTCATTAGATGAGGATAGACTTTCTGATTGCCATTGGATGACGCTGTAATTACAGAGGCAGAGATCAGAAGTGCAGTTGAACAAATAAGGCATCGAAGCGCTCCGGGCCCGGACTGTTTTAATCCTATATATGTTCAGATTCTAATTTTTACATATCTGGATATTTTTATATTGCTTTTTAATTACTGTTTTAAATTTTGTGTGTTTCCAAGAAATTGGAAAATCGGTCGAGTTGTTTTAATTCCAAAGCAGAATGACAGATATAGACCAATTGTACTTTTGAGTGTTTTTGGAAAAGTGTATGAAAGAATCTTGGTTGAGAGATTGAAGTTTTACTTGAATAGTAGAATGATACTCAGTCGGCGACAGTATGGTTTCACAACTGGCTGTTCTACATATGATGCATTATATGATACTATTGACTTTATTAAAAGCAATAAGAGTTCGCATCACGTAGTGCTGCTGTCCTTGGATGTTTCGTCTGCATTCGATTCAGTGTGCTGGAACTCTATTTTACAAACCATGATTAACCTTAAATTGCCAAGGAATTTGATTCAATGTTATAAGAGTTATTTTAACAATCGCAAAATCTTGTTTAATGCTTTTAAGGATGAGACTGCAGAGATAGAACTATTTTAATAATTAATTAACTATAGAGATTTTCATTGGTTGTCCGCAGGGCTCCTTCAGTGCTCCCCTGCTCTGGAATATCATATTAAACAAATTTCTTATTTTGGAATATCCCAGTGATGTTAACTTTATTGCATATGCAGATGATCTTGCTGTTCTGATGTATGGTGCATCATTGGAAAAACTCGAGAAATCATTTGAGAATGTTATGTTAAAACTGGAAAACTGGAGAATCGGCGAGGGTCTTGAATTCAACTTAGAAAAACTTTTGCAATCATTTTCCCGCGGGCTGGGATCAAAGTGAGAGCTCCACAATTTAGATATCAAGGAAAAAGAATAAAGTTTGTTGATGTTATTAAATATTTGGGAGTCAAGATTGATTGCAAGTTGACCTTCTCAGATCATTTTAAAACAATTCATCGGCTCTCAGATGATATGTTAATGTTTTACAGGAGATCCTTTTTCTAGTGAGACACTTTGTAACAAATCATGCATTCTTAAAGATATTTTGAATAATGTAATTATCCCTAGAGTTTTCTATGGAATTGGTGCCTGGGGATCCAGTGCCGGGGATTGGTCAGGTTGAGGAAACAACTCGATGCCATACAGAGGAGCTGGGTGCTTAATGATTACAAGATGTTTCCGTACTGTCTCAACTGAGGTGCTCTGCGTTCTAGCCGGCACGCCGCCCTCTTTCAATTTTATATAAATTATATTTTGAAAAATTTTGTTTAGAACTGGTAGACTTGATTTTAAATTGTATAAAGATATTTTGATTACAAGGCATATGTTTGAAAGAATTAATAATATTTTGGTACATCCTTCTGGTTTTTATGTGTTTTTGAATTTGATTGTAAACTCCCAATAGTCGGAGAATTGGATATTTATGCTGACGGGTCCAGGCAAGATGATAAATTGGGTGCAGCATTGTGATTTATCATTATGGAACTGAAATTGAAAATAAAAAATATAAGCTTAATAATTATAATTCTGTATTTCAATCGGAATGCTGTGCTTTACTTAAAGCCCTTCAGTGGGTTAAGGAAATTTTGACTTGTGTTAATTCTATTCATATATATACTGATTGTATGTCTTTGCTTCAATCCTTGACCTCGGCCTGTCCTACTAATTTATTAATATTTGATATTAAATGTCTATTGAAATTTTTGATGCAGGATATGTGCATTCATTTACACTGGATAAAAGCGCATGTCGGCTTTGTTGGAAATGAAAGGGCCGACGTGCTGGCTAAAGAGGCGAACACTAATGATGATTGTGAATATAAATAGAAATTTCTGGTTTGAGAAGTTATGCAGTTAGAAACATGAAAATTTTTATAATGATATTTGGAATACTACTAGATGGAATGAATCAGAGAGGTGCGTGGGTCTTTTGAAGTATATTAAAATTCAAAATGGTATGCGACCAATTAGTAATATTGATTTAAACCAGTTTTTAACTGGGCATGGAAGATTTCCCGCGTACCTCTCGAGATTTAATTTACAAAATTCAGACTTGTGTGGTCATTGCCATCAAGTTGGTAACGCAGATCACTTCTTGAATCATTGTTCCTTATTGGAAAATTTGAGAAAGAAATGTTTGGGAGATAAGTCATGGAACTTGAAAATCGTAAAAACATATTCTAAATGTGCAATGGATTTGATCAATTCTAATATTGAATTTGGAATATTTGTTTAGTATTGTGTATATTTATCTTTTGATTATATGTATTATATTTTCAGTTATGAGTATTTATAGGTTTACTACTAAAATTTTTTAATTTTTCTGTGTAGTATTTTATTTAATGCATTGTGGATGTTTTGTACATGCGGTATTTCGAAGAGATGCAGTTGATTGTTACATAGATATGGCTTTGCAAATGCTGAGAATCCTGATGGATTACCAGATTTAAATTATCGAAATTAGTGGTTTTGAGTTTTAGGATTTTGATTTTTAAATTTTAAATTTTATGGAATTTTTATATTTTTTAATTGTAGTTTTTGATTTTAAAATGTTCTGAAATTTTAAAGTTTTAAAATTTTTTCTTATATTCTGTTCTTAATGGAGTAATTACTAGGGTTTTAATATGATACATGGCAATCTTAAATTTTTCCAGTTTCGGTTATTGGCAGTCCTGGAGCTTCTTTTCTATGATTATTAAGGATAATTAATACATTTGAATTCAGATAGTAGTAGGACTATTAAAGTAAATTTTTAAAATAAATTAATAGTTTAAATAGAATTATGATTTTACAAATAATATGCTATTAAAGTAATACTGTAGGGAATTCGGTTTGACCTTCTGCAGGTTATTTAAATTGGGAATTCCTCGATGGCTGTGGACCGCCTGTGCCTGTTCCGAAAATTCATGTGAATGAATATTTCTTGAGAGTTTAAGCCACTCTGTTTGCTCGTGGAGTTTTTCATTGTTTTTGGATTTTGAATGTTGGTGTTGTGCTACGTTGTTTGTATGTCTCTTCCTTATTTTTAGTTCGTTAATTAACCTCCAATTATTTTTAGATAATTAGCTTCTTTTTCTCTCTTCTTTCCTTTTTTGGTCTTGAGGGGGTCGACCTTTCATAATCATATGGTCATGGGACTAGGAGGATTGGGTCTTCCCTGTATTATGACTATTATGACTTGGAGGAGGAGGGCTTTGATAACGTTTCCTCAGTTGGCTACAGCGTGTATTTCGACCACGTGATGCGGAGCTGTTGCGCTGAAAAGGTTCAGCTTGGATGACTACTAATTGAGCAACCTGTTTGGACAGATCATCAATATAAGCTTGTAACACTACAATACCTGGACCAGGAGCCTGCACTGCGTGTATTTGCGCTGGTATGGCCATCTCGTGAATTTTATCAGCGATTTCGGGAAGATTTTTAAGTGGCTCGCTACTGGCCGCTAAAATAGTTTGCATGTTAGATGGGAGTCTATTCATCCATAATGTTTTAAGAATGTTATCCGTTAGGTTACCGGCGACTAAATCTGACATTTTAGACAGCAAGTGAGAAGGCCTCATATCACCCAACCGTAAATCATGCAACAGCTGCTCAATTTTAACTGTCTCGGATTCTTCATAAACAGAAATTAATTTTTTTTTAAAGATTTGTATTTGTCCGTCGTCGATGGATTCAAAATTATTTCATGAGCTGATTGCAGTACCTCTGATTCTAACGCAGCGATCACTGTATAAAATTGAGTTTCGTCGGCAGTAATGTGACTCAAATGCGCATCCAATTGAATGAACCATAACGATGGGTCTCGGCGAGAAAAAGGCGGTGGCTTAACTGCCACTCTCGCCAATTGCGAAGCAGCATCGTTGTCAACCACTTTAGCAATAAATAATATGTATAGAATATACACAATAGTAATATGTATAGAAATCAAAATATGCACAATAATAATATGTATATATGCTGTGCAATAAAATACAAAAATGAATATGTATATAGTGACACAGTTTCTTGGTACTCGAAATCAGAGAAATTGGAGGCTCAAATGCAGCAGACGATACATATATCCGCTGAAATTATGACAGAAATATGTTGACTCACCGGAATGCGGCAAAAAGCTTGAAATGACAGGTGAATGTCTTACTTGCATCTCATCACACTGGATAACTTACTGCTGCTCAGAATTTAGACATATAAACTCCATACTTGTGCAACATTGAAGGTTGGCATTCGTAATAAATACGTGTCGCCAATTATGGTAGTACAATTTTTTGAGACAGATCGTTAAACAATTATAACAATTGAATGGAACAAATATTATTTTTGTTTTTGGTTGCTATGGGTTATCAGACTGGCAGAGTTGAGTTGTAGTAGGTAAGTTGCCACATATCTGTTTATCTATAATGTATATTAAACTTTTAATTGTTTAAAAACTGTACTTTTTAAAAACACTTATATAAATATGTAAAATAAATAACACCTTTTTAACTAATTCTAGATCATCGTAGGTCAGATTTTTCCGCCGACACACATGCATTTCCGAATCCAAGGTTAGTGCAGTTAGGTAGTGACTAATCTTTATATATTTTTGAGTATTTTATGGCAGATTCAGCATTTTATTATTATTTGCATTATTTTCTTATTACGAATATATTCTATACATTATATTACTGAAAGTTTTTTTTTGTGGGGAGGCGCCAAAAAGTTATTTTGCCCCGGGCGCCAGTTACGCTTGCTACGCCACTGGTTGTAATATATTTATTGTATTTTCATTGCACAAAACACTGTATTTACAATACAAAGCGCTTTATTTGTATGCAAAAGAATTAATGAAACTAAACATTTTTAAAGCTGCCTTAATACATATCAGTAGATGATTAGGGAGTGGATTCTTTGAGAATATTATTGTTATCAATATTCATGCTTGTTCCCATTCTGAGAAAAACTGGTCATTTTGGTGAGATTGTTGCTAGAAGAGTGTTCGTTAGCAAATAGAATTTCGTAGTTTGGAAAAATTTTTCAGCTTTCATGTATTTTATAATATGAAGATCTCATGCTATAGGAGCTTTTACTAGTTTTGCTTTTGTTTTAAATGAATTCTGAGCAGAATGACCTACTGGCATGCAATGCAACTTTATTTTTTAATGCAGGTTTGTAATAAGTTTTTTTTCCTTAAAAAGGCAGACCTGTGTCAGATGCTTCTGAAATGCTAAGAGTATTTCTAAGAATTAACTGAAATTGGAATTTTCATAATTTTGAAATTAGCATTCTTCTGTTGTAACGTATTTTTCAGTATTTAACAAAATAACAGGTGATCTTCTTAGTAAAACATAAATTTTATTTTTAGTTTATGGAGATAAATAATTTAAATACAATCTTTTAGTTAAAAATTTTTCATACATCTACTAGCTGGTAAACTTTCAGAATTATCATTTTAAACAATTTCTTACGTTGCTGAGCAACAGTTACATCATACAAATATGACATTGCCATTTCAATAATAAATATAGTTATTTGTTAAATAACAAAATATTACAACTTCTCCCCCTCCAGATACCCATGTCAGTTTGACGATTTTACTATCTATCTTCACACCTGGTTGGCGATAACAGAAACAATTTTTGCCGTTATGGCAATACAATTTAGCTGTAATACGTCGAGATGACGTTGATATCTACCACACACCTAGATGGTGAGAACTAAGAAAAGACTTTTGCCAGTTTGGCAATACAATAAAATCCCATTACATCAGTTTGACGTCACTATTTATTTTCTACACGCTTGCTTGGCAACAAATTCAAACATACATTAGGAGTTCTTTTTTCTTATAAATTCTGAGATGGCTTACACATATCAATTATCAACCTAAAATTTCAATACGAATAACAGTAAATCTCCAATTAATAATTTAAAATACTTTTTACCACAAATATAAATTATGATTTATGCCTAAAATTTTTAGTATCAATTATTTTACACAAAAATTACACTGTTTAAATATAATTCTGGAATGAAATATTTAAATTCAATAAACACTTTTTTATGAAACCAAAAGTTAATCTTATCTTCGGAGATCAGCAATATCCTGTTCTGACAATTCTTTGCTTGGATGCAAGTTATAGAAACACAGAAGATAACTGTTTAATGATCCGCTTCAAAATATCTAGCTTTAAAATGGCAGACTTCTGACATCCATTTCACCTTGAAATAAACAAATCGGCAATTGGTATTAGCAAACTTGTTCTAAAAATTTCAGCAACTTTCTGGGATTAGGAGACCAGCACCATTGAAATTGATAATTGCACTCCTAATTTCCAGTATCTCAGTGGAACCTCCAATTTTATAAGACTGTAAGGTATTTTGCAGTATTTAACAAAATAACAGGTGATCTTCTTAGTAAAACATAAATTTTATTTTTAGTTTATGTAGATAGGTAATTTGAATTCAATCTTTTAGTTAAAAATTTTTCATACATCTACTAGCTGGTAAACCGTTCAGAATTATCATTTTAAACAATTTCTTACGCTGATAAGCAATGCTTATATCATACAAATATGCATTGCCACTTCAATCATAAATGTAGTTATTTGTTAAATAACAAAATATTACAGTGCATTGCCAGAAATACCAGGGAGAGGAAGTCTCATTTAGAATAGCAATGCCTTCCCACTAATAAATGCAAGCAGCATCTGGAAAAAACTTGAATAGTGCAGTGAAGGTAGCAGATTATCATAGAGTAACTTAAAGGCTGTATTGTTGTAGGTGCTTGCATTATTAGTCATAACATTTTGCAGATACAAGCAAAATTTGGATTTTTATGTTTCACCATATTTTAGTCATCCTAGATAATTTTTAAAACAGTGTATGGGTTTCGATTGAAAATAAGCAAATTTAGCTATTTTCTTAAAGGAATATAACTTGCAATATGTATGTATATAGCAAGTGATATATGCATATATATTGCAAGTGATATTCCGTATAACTATTTCTGATGAACTGTTTGTACATTTTAAAACTGTGGCTATCTAGTATGTTGCTGCTTACTAATGTACAGATTTGGGTTTTATGTTCAGTGTAATGCTGAATAAAGTCTGCACTTATGACATAAAACATGAAGTGTTAAATATTTAAAAAAACTGCTCTTCTATAAACTTTTCCTGATAATAGGGATCTTTAAATGAAACTTTCTTTTTTAGGCAACACATTAATAGTTCTTAAAAGCAGTTGGTAAAACAATAATAATAAGAAATTGTCCATAAATAAAATAAAGAATGTTACATATTGCATATTTTCTTTCAGTTTCTTTCCAAATGTGATGCAAGCTCCATTGATAGTCATTGGGAATGCAGTGTTTGAATGTTTAGTGTACATTAAAATATGTAAGAAACCTCATCGAAAGTACAATGTAGCTTCTTCATCATCAGTTACTCTCACCATTCCTGGAACAGAGCCTCACGATGCTGAAAGGAGGAGGTAAGTTTTCTTTTTTCTTTTTTTTTTTTTTTTACTTCACTTTCATTATCTATTAGTTCTGATACACATCAAGGCTAGTGTATAGTTAAGCTAGAAAGAGAAATTTACTTACATTTTGCCTGTATAGTACAAAGTCCGAGATCCAGATGCTCAATATTTGGAATGATCTAAAATCTGGACCTCAAAACTAGCACTACCACCAACCTCTTTTTTTTGGAGGGGGGGGGAGGATATGCTTTACACGTGCACATTTGATTCCCCTACCCATTAAAAAAAAAATGGAGAGTCCCAATTCTTAATTTTGCTTCACCACTAAATGAAATGCCTCATTATTGAAGAAACAATCATTTTAGCATAAATTTATGTGATGAATAATTTGACTCTGTAGCTGCATATTTGCTCAGCATACACCTCAAACCAAAACATTCTATATAGAAACATTGTTAATTTTATACCAACTAATATTTTATATCCCCTGATGCCCATCCTGGTGAATTATTATTTATTATATGTGGCTTTCATCAGCAACTTGTGTAATGACTCGTGCAGCGATGCCTAAACATTTTTATAATATTATTAATTGAATAACAAAGAGTACGGTAAACTTTTCTGTTGCCATTGCTCTTTGCAGTGATTACAGATTTAAGTTAAATGCGCTAAGAAATGTTGACGAAAAAACATTTAACAAAAATTTCTTTCCATGTGCTAAAATTAGATTTTGTTAATGACACTTACGGGCCAAAAGATTACATTTAGTGCTATTTGAATTAAAAATAACTGATTTGTTATTCACGTAAACACAGAACTGGCGCCAGAGCTTGTGTGGTCGCACAGGTGATGGAATTTAGAAAAGACAATTTTTTTTTTTTAATTTAGAGAAGCTCCGAGCAACAAAATTAAGGGCTGACAAAAGTTTTTAGAATTTAGGGAAAGCACTGTGACCCAAAATTAGGGGCGGTAAAAATTTAGAACGTAGGGAGGTGCTTTGTTAGCAGAATTTAGGACCCGCAGAGACTGCATCAGGCGGTAATGTATGCCTTCGATAAGTATATGTGGAATTTATTTACTCAGAACTCGGATAAGCCTTAAACATGTGCAAGAAATACACGTGAGTATATTAAATTACTAAAATAATACAATTCAGGCTTAATTGTCTCAGTGCACATTAGAAGCAAGATGGAATTTAGCGAAACAACTTGTCTTTTGTCTTTAATCTCATGATAGCTGATACTAAAGCTGCTGAACTAGTATTTGCAGATGAATTTATTGAACTCACTAATAATTAAAAGTTATATAAAAAAATTTACAGCATTGATGAAACTGGTCTTCCGCGAAATACCTTGGCATACCTACAGAAAAGGCTCCAACTGGTGTCAAGGATTCCAAAGCAAGACTAGCAAATTTAGCATGTATAAATGCTGCAAGAGTGTAATTTTTTTGTAATTGGAAAAAATACACCACCTTGAGCATTTAAAGGAGTAAAGATTTTCCCTGTTATATATCGTACAAATAAAAGAGCATGGATGACACAAGCGTTAATGAATGATTGGTTTGAAAATCATTTCATACCCAATGCTTGGCAACAGTTAAATTCGGTTGGTTTACCTGATGACACAAAAAATTATCCTAATTGTAGATAACTGCTTAGCTCATACTTCACTTTTATTGAAAAGTAATGTATCCACATTCTTTTCTCCAAACTGTATGTCCATCATTCAGCCTATGAATATCGTAATAGCTTATACTCTGAAATGCAAATACAAAGAAGCATTTTTAAAATCCATGTCAAATTTCTTGAATAATGGAAAGACTATTCAAGAACTTTCAGAAGTTATTTATTGCACATCATCATTTCTATCATAAACAATAAAAATATAGTGATAATTAAAAACTGTATATATATATATAAACAATCTTTGTATATTTATGGCATTTGCTTTGTGGTTTCAGGGCAAGACCACTGAGCCACTAGAACAGGGGTGGCCAGGCTCCTTGATAGTCTGAGCCATTTTTCATAATTTGAAATTTTTCGCGAGCCGCAATTAAATACGTATTTAAAAGGTATGCAAAAAAGTATTAAAATATTTTTTTACAGAAATTATATTTATTGAAAACATATAAATAAAAGTGCAAAATACGTGTATTGAATTAAAATATTAAAAATTAAACACATTTATTTTACTTCTCTTGATAATTCTTTAAAATTTGGTGAATAATTTGTGACAGCAGTTCTCAGTATTTCTTTGAGATGCTGGTTAAATTAATACTAATCAGTGTTTGGATTTCACGAATTTTAAATGGAATAAATTGATTCACATAAGTACGTTGTTCCGAATATTGAAATAATTCGACAAGCAGTCTTTTTTAATTCAGGATATTTTGATTCTGGTACAAAATTCCAAAATTCAGTAATCAGCATTGATTTGTATTTTAATTGTAGAGCTTGATCCTCTTGCATCTCTATTAATTTTAAACCTCCAGATGCTTTTTGGGTCATAATTATATTGGAAATGGAAAACTCACTTTGAATTATGTTAATTTCAAATGGATTCAGAAAAAAATCAAGAGACGATGGACAGAAATGAAATTTGTTACAACGTTGCACTTAGTCTTTCATATTTATGTCTGTAATTTAAAAGAGATTTTGAAACACATACGGAACAATAATAATTTTTAAAAATATAATAACACAAAAATAAAACGGGAACTGGGGTACATTTATGGAGAGCCAGAAATAATCCTTCAAAGAGCCGCAGGTTGGCCACCCCTGCAAAAGAACATTGTGTCACAATACTCACAGTCCTCTAGAGGCTCCGTGGTCACACCCTGAAACCACTGCTGAGTGTTAATATTTATTTTTGGCATTATTTTGCATATGTAAACTACATATGAAACATGTCTTATATTAAAATTTCATATTTTTTATCAGGCAAATTGCCCTAAGAGCTCTTAGTGAAAGACTCAGTAAAGTGGAACAAGTGTCGTGGTTATCTGCAGTAGATGAAGTAAAATCTGATAAAAGTAAGAATGTTAGCATAACTATTCCTCCTATTTTAGCACATCACCAAAGTTCATTGTCATCAAACATCAATTCTTCGAAGGTAGAGACTGCACATGAAGAAATGGAAAAAGCAACTTCAGATAATCATCAGCAGTTATCAACTCAGCCATAATCCTGCCCCTTCCTGTTTTGATAAATTATGTCTTTCCAAGTAGACATATGCTTAGGATAATCAAACATCTAATTTTAACTGAAATGTGCTTTATCAATCACTCTCATGTTATACTATAACCCTTGCCCAACTAAACATAGGTATTCATTTGCACATGCATTGTGTTCCATCAGATTTCTTGTGCAGATAGTTTTGTTGCCATTGTAAAACAACAGCCTTTGAAATTAAATTTCATACTTTTAATTTATTTCCATGAAGTGCTGTCGATCATATTGGAAATGAGAGAATGCTAGTTGTAACAAAAACAGTATCTGTGATGTTAAATATGCAAATTTATGAACTTTTGAAATATTTTGAATTATCACTAAAAGGTTCATTTTCAATCATATCTTATGTTTTTGTATCTATATCTTTGTAAAAACCAAATTAGTTAAGAGTTGTATGAATTAATAAAGCTTTATTAAAATCTTTGAGATATAATTATTGTGTATAGTTTTATTAAAATTAGTCTTTGAGGATATGCTAACATTTCCCTGGTATTTCATAAAAAATGTGTATAAATTTATCAGTCTTTTTCCCCCTATCGTATTCTCTTTTATGACTGCGGAAGACATACCATTGAATAATAGATAAAATATTTCCCCCATCTAGAGAATTATCTATCAGACTACATTTATACATTATATATATATAAGGTATACTTTAAATTGCTTTCATTTTATATAATTATTTCTTGTGTCATAGAATGTTTATTAAAATCGAACAGTCTTGATAATTTTTTTTTTTTTTTTAGGCTGCTACTTTTAGCTCTTTAATGTGCCTTTAAGTCTGGTATATTATAATGTTATTATGGGTTTCACAATATTACTTTGAAATGTTCTTTTTTCTTTCTTTCTTTAAAACAAATAAACAATTGTAATGTGCTCAAATGTGTTTCACAAATGTGTTATTCTTGTAACATTTAATTAAGTGTATAAGAATATTTCTTTTATGCTTGACGACCTATATTCCAAAGCAAAATGATGAAACATGCTTCACGCATGTAAAGACAATTAGTATAAAATCATATAGCTTTATTTATATCAAAATAATGGTCTGCAGCTTCAAAGTTGCAGATGGAATCACCCATATGAACAATGCAACAGTAATCTCCAAGAAAAAATATATCATTGCTTTCTTTTTATATTTTTTCGAAATCACTTAGATAGAATACAGTTATTTTGTTACTGTGATCTAAAGCAAAATATGTTCAATGAAATTAAAACAAAAAACAACAACGAAAAAAATCTATTTAAAAAAGGTATTATAAAAAAGGTCATGGGTGAATAAAATATCTTCTGAGATCAAATTGTAGAAAAATTTGATTTACTTTTAACATTACCATTTTTTTTCTATTCTTAAAATCTTTGTAATTTAGTAAAATCAAGTCAAATGCATCTGAAATATTAATGAAAGATATCTCAGGGATTGAACCATAGTCTAAATAAACTGATGTTAGTCCAGAAATTAATTTTGATGTTAATTTTCAGTTTGATTTTCAAATAAAAGTTTTCTTTTTTTTTTAAATACATGTTCTTTTCATTATTTCCTTTATATTGTTTATATATATTTTCATTTTTCTATGTAGGAAATTACGATCCAGTGTTCATATGGTGTTTAAAATCTTAAAAAGTGCTTATTTTTTAATGGCTTTTAAAAAAGGGAGAAAAGATTTTCTTGATTTCATTCTTTTTGGGTAAAAAGGAAATCCTTAAAGTCCAAAAATTTTATTTAGAAATTTACTCCATCCTCCCTAATACTTTATGTGTGCATTTTTTGAAGCAAAGCTGTTATTGTAATGAGTATAGTGAGCCAGTACAGTTCTTGAACTTGTGAAGAATGTACTCATTCTAAAATTTATTTACAGTGTCCAATATCTTTCCTGCATCACAAAGCAAGAATTTTGACTTCATCTAGTTCTTTGGCTTATTAGCGATTCCTGAGTTAGTTCATTAATCTAACATGCTACACTGATTCAGAGTTTATAACACTTTTTCTTATAGTTTCAACATGCTTGAAAATGTATATTCAACATTATTTTGCCTTGAAACCAAAAATGTAAACACTTGTTAAAGCAAAATGAGGATAAATTGCAATCTTTCTTTGAAAATTATAGATTTAGGCACCATGGGAGAAGCAACACTGAAAGCCCACAGAAGCAAGTACAGTGGAACTTTGAGACATGAGTTTAATTCGTCGCATTGAGCTGATATAGCAAATTTCTTGCATCTAGAAACAAACTTCCCCATTGAAAATAATGGAAATCCAGTTAATCCGTTCCGTATCCCCAAAAATCTCATTACCATCTCGTCTTCAGTCGACGTACCTGTTGTTTTTTGGAGAAGGTCCAAGTATGGATTCTTAGCCTTAGTGCAAATTATAGCTTCTGACACTGAATCGTCTTTTAATTGCTTCTCATTAATCCACACCAACAACTAGGAGTTTTGGAGGGTGCTCCTTTGGTCACATCGACTTTCTTAATTTCTTCCTTTTTCTTCAGAATAGTGCAGATCGTTGATGTCGAACGGCCATAAGTCTTTGCCAATTCCATCAATCTTTGTTTATCTATGATTTCCTTCTTAATTTCAATGGCCTTCCTTCTTTTTCTTTGCAGCACTATCTGAGGCAACAATCTTCTTGGGAAGCATCGTGAAATAATTATTTTCATGTTAAATGTAAAAAGCAGTTAACTTACAAGCACACAAAGACATAGATAAAAAAACACCGAGTGATCTGAGGAGGGTATTCCCCGAATCGGGAAACGTGCCATGCATACCAACAGCCTGGCTCATTGCTTGTTACTTGAGTCAGTACTCATATTTTTTGCTCATACTTTCCTCATATCTCGAATTTCTCATATATAGAGGTGCTTGTATCTTGAGGTTCCACTTCATATTTACTATTTTCTATATTAGAGACGAATTTTTCGCTCGTACTTTCCTCATATCTCGAATTTCTTGTACCAGGTGCCCATAATTAAACTGACAGTGCTGAGTGTTCTGAAGCGCGATCTATTTGCGAGAATGACGCCACATTTTGTACGAAGATTAAACAAGACGGGGGACGAAGGATTGCGCGAAAAAACAAATTAGTTCCAAAAGTCACCGCTAGGGGAATATTTGACACTGTGTAATAGAAATTATAGTGTTAACAAATGCAAATCAATACGGAAATTACCTTTTATTTTGCATTCAAATGAGGTTCAATGTGGCTGCCGTTGTTGTGGACCACATATTGCATTCTGTGCACAGTATGCACAACAGTAGAAAGTAACTTGTCTGCAGGAATCTCCCGTACAGTCTGTGATATGTTATCCTTCAACGTAGCCAGGTGCTGGACCACTTCTTGATAGACCTTGGACTTAAGGTAACCCCATAGCCAGAAGTCGCATGGTAAGATGAGGCAACCAGGGTGGCCATGCAGTTGGAAAGTAGCGACTAATGACTCTTTCTGTTGTGAATTTCTGTCTTAGCATCTGTTGCATCCGTACAGCAATATATGGAGAGGCTCTATCTTGTATGAAAATGATTTCCCCCCAGGCATTGTCTTTGCTGAAGTGCCGGAATGACAAAGCTGTTCAACATGTGGCGATATTTCTCTCCGGTAACAGAACAGGTTTCCGGTCCTGTCGGAGTAATGTTCTCATAGAAGAATGGACCTACGATAAATTCCGCTGTGAACCCACACCAGTTATCTTTGGTGAATGTAAGGGAATTGCTATGAATGTGGTGATTTGTCATCCCGAATTCGGCAGTTCTGGGTATTCACAGTTCCATTCAGGTAAAAGTGGGCCTCGTCTCCCCATAAGATTTTCCATGGCCAAGCATCATCCACCTCCATTCTGGCAAGAAAGGTGAGAGCAAAAGTCAGTCGCTTATCATGGTCGGGGTACAGTAACTCCTGTACACGGCTGATCTTGTACAGATAGAAGTTGATAATCTTTCGTAAGATTTTCCATATCGTACTGTAAGGCATATCCATATTCCAAGCTACTCCACGAGCACTAGAGGTGGCAGCAATATTGTCTGGTCCTCTGTCAACAATCGCTGTGGCAACTGCTTCGATTGTATCCTGTGGTACAGGTTTTTGTCCTCTAACTGACTGAACGTTCAGAGAACCTGTTTTCTCAAACGTCGCAACCATTGCTTTTAGCCCATTAACTGACACAGGACCGTTACCTTTACGCATTTTTTTGTGCGTTCTAAAAGCATGAAGAGTGGCTGACGCGTTGCACTGGTTGAGGTAGAAGAATTTTACTAGTAACGCACGCTCGACTAAAGAAGGAGACATTGCACATAAACTTTCAATCCGATTGATTCGAAACGTAACACATTGCCTTTAAAACTTAAGCAGCTGGCACTGTGCGAATGGATGTAACGTGAAATTTGACTAAAGAACTTCTGCTCAGCGTACGTGATATTGCAGATTACGAGACTTTATCAGTGTTTATGTAGATTTTACGCTTTTTTAAAAGTGTTGCCATATTGCACTTGAACTAAATCAGAAAATGTGCATAATAAAAGGTAATTTTATTCCGTATTAATTTGCATTTGTTAACACTCTATTTTCTATTACACAGCGCCAAATATTCCCCTAGTGGTGACTTTTGGAACTAATTTGTTTTTTCACGGAATCCTTCGTCCCCCGTCTTGTTTAATCTTCCTACAAAATGTGGCGTCATTCTCGCAAATAGATCGTGCTACAGAACACTGTCAGTTTAATTATGGCCACCCGGTATATAGAGGTGCTTGCATCTTGAGGTTCCACTCCATATTTACTACCTTTTTTTAATAATATAAAGTTTTATATTAAAATATCAACATTTTTTAGATTTTTTTTTTTTTTTTTTTTTTTTTTTTTTTTTTTTTGTATTATTTTCATTTGTTGTCATGAGCTGCAGGATTTTTCATTCTTGCAAATGTGAACGAGTTGTATCAATCATTAACAAGTGCAGAGTGTTTATTTTTTGTTTTCAAATGTTATATAATGTAAAAATATAATGGCAAATAAAAAGCTCTATTTTTTTGTTTATTTTGTGGTATTTGTAATTTATTTCATTAGAGGGAATTTGTTCTCTCTCTCTTGTATGTGTGTTATCATTCTTATTGTATGTAGTAAATTGTTTTACCTTTACAGGTTACAAATGACAAAATAATCCTCTATTCCATGTTTTTTATAACTTTTTGTGCTAAAATTATATTTTTGAAAGTTTTTACTATCAAAGAAAGAAAAATCAACATGTAGAAGTAGTAAATTAAAAACTTACACCACTTATTAGGCATAAACTTTAAATGAATGAAAAACTTAAGTAATAATTGTATGTGATTGTAAGACTTACACATTCTAGTATTTTATATCTATGAACCTCTCTCCTAATGTTGACAAAGTCTTCAGTTAGTCTCATCCCTATATAGAAATCAGCTGATAGTTTTCTAGTTCTG